GGTGCCGGTGCCATGGTGCTCGATCGTGGTACTTATGGTGGTGCTGGTCCTGGTCTTGGTGTCGGTGCCATTGTGCTCGATCTTGGTGCTTCTGGTGGTGCTGGTCCTGGTGAGTTCTCCTGGCACTGCCGGATTTGGCCGGTGCATGGTGCCACTGGCCAGTTGTTGGTGGTGCTAGTCTTGGTGCGCTGTGGTGCTAGTCCCGGTCTTGGTGCTGGTGCCATGGTGCTGATCGTGGTGCTTATTGTGGTGTTGGTCCTGGTCTTGGTGCTGGTGCCATGGTGCTGATCGTGGTGCTTATGGTGGTGCTGGTCCTTGTCTTGGTGCTGGTGCCATTGTGCTGATCGTGGTGCTTATGGTGGTGCTGGTCTTGGTGAGTTCTTCGGCACAGCCAGCATTTGGCTCGGTGCATGGTGCCACTGGCCGCTGTTGGTGGTGCTAGTCTTGGTGCGCTGTGGTGCTAGTCCCGGTCTTGGTGCTGGTGCCATGGTGCTGATCGTGGTGCTTATTGTGGTGCTGGTCCTGGTCTTGGTGCTGGTGTCATGGTGCTGATCGTGGTGCTTATGGTGGTGCTGGTCCTGGTCTTGGTGCTGGTGCCATTGTGCTGATCGTGGTGCTTATGGTGGTGCTGGTCCTGGTGAGTTCTCTGGCACGGTTAGATTTGGCTGGTGCATGGTGCCATGGTCAGTGTTGGTGGTGCTAGTCTTGGTGTGTTGTGGTGCTAGTCCCGGTCTTGGTGCTGGTGCCATGGTGCTGATCGTGGTGCTTATTGTGGTGCTCGGTGCCATGGTGCTGATCGTGGTGCTTATGGTGGTGCTCGGTCCTGGTCTTGGTGCTTGGTGCCATTGTGCTGATCGCTGTGCTTCCGGTTGTGCTTGGTCCTGGTGAGTTCTCTCGGCACTGGCCGATTTGGTCGGTGCATGGTGCCACGATCGGTGTTGGTGGTGCTAGTCTTGGTGCTGCCGTGGTGCTAGTCCCGGCCTTGGTGCCGGTGCCATGGTGCTCGATCGTTGTCCTTATTATGGTGCTTGGTCCTGGTCTTGGTGCTGGTGCCATGGTGCTGATCGTGGTGCTTATGGTGGTGCCAGCCCTGGTCTTGGTGCTCGGTGCCATTGTGCTGATCATGGTGCTTATGGTGGTGCTTGGTCCTGGTGAGTTCTCTGCACTGGCCATATTTGGCTGGTGCATGGTGCCACGATCGCTGTTGGTGGTGCTAGTCTTGGTGTGTTGTGGTGCTAGTCCCGGCCTTGGTGCTCGGTGCCATGGTGCTGATCGTGGTGCTTATTGTGGTGCTGGTCCTGGTCTTGGTGCAGGTGCCATGGTGCTGATCGTGGTGCTTATGGTGGTGTTGGTCCTGGTCTTGGTGCTTGGTGCAATTGCGCTGATCGTGGTGCTTATGGTGGTGCTGGTCCTGGTGAGTTCTCTCGGCACCGGCCGATTTGGTCGGTGCATGGTGCCACGATCGCTGTTGGTGGTGGTAGTCTTGGTGCTGCTGTGGTGCTAGTCCTGCCTTGGTGCCGGTGCCATGGTGCTGATCATGGTGCTTATCGTGGTGCTCGGTCCTGGTCTTGGTGTTGGTGTCATGGTGCTGATCATGGTGCTTATGGTGGTGTCTGGTCCTAGTGAGTTCTCCGGCATGGTCGATTTGGCAGAGCATGGAGCCACTGGCAATGTTGGTGGTGCTGGTCTTGGTGCGCTGTGGTGCTGGTCCCGGTCTTGGTGCTGGTGCCATGGTGCTGATCGTGGTGCTTATGGTGGTGCTGGTCCTGGTCTTGGTGCTGGTGCCATGATGCTGATCGTGGTGCTTATGGTGGTGTTGGTCCTGGTCTTGGTGTTGGTGCCATGGTGCTGATCGTGGTGCTTATGGTGGTGCTCGGTCTTGGTGAGTTCTCCGGCACTGACGATTTGGCTGGTGCATGGTGCCACGATCGCTGTTGGTGGTGCTAGTCTTGGTGCTACTGTGGTGCTAGTCCCGGCCTTGGGGCTGGTGCCATGGTGCTAATCGTGGTGCCGGTCCTGGTCTTGGTGCTCGGTGTCATGGTGCCTGATCGTGGTGCTTATGGTGGTGCCTGGTCCTGGTCTTGGTGCCGGTGCCATTGTGCCGATTGTGGTGCTTATGGTGGTGCCTGGTCCTGGTGAGTTCTCTAGCACTGGCCGATTTGGTCGGTGCATGGTGCCACTGCCGCTGTTGGAGGTGCTCGCCTTGGTGCGCCGTGGTGCTAGTCCCTGCCTTAGGGCTGGTGCCATGGTGCTAATCGTGGTGCCGGTCCTGGTCTTGGTGCTCGGTGTCATGGTGCTCGATCGTGGTGCTTATGGTGGTGTTGGTCCTGGTCCTGGTGCCTGGTGCCATTGTGCTGATTGTGGTGCTTATGGTGGTGCTCGGTCCTGGTGAGTTCTCCGGCACTGCCGATTTGGTCGGTGCATGGTGCCACTGGTCGCTGTTGGTGGTGCTAGTCTTGGTGCGCCGTGGTGCTAGTCCCGGCCTTGGTGCCGGTGCCATGGTGCTCGATCGTGGTGCTTATTGTGGTGCTAGTCTTGGTCTTGGTGTCTGGTGCCATGGTGCCGATCGTGGTGCTTATTCCGGTTTTTGTCCTTGTGAGTTCTCCGGCACGATCGATTTGGTCGGTGCAAGGTGCCACTGCCGTTGTTGGTGGTGCTAGTCTTGGTGCGCTGTGGTGCTAGTCCCGGCCTTGGTGTTGGTGCCATGGTGCTTATCGTGGTGCTTATTGTGGTGGTGGTCCTGGTCTTGGTGTTGGTGCCATGGTGCTGATCGTGGTGCTTATGGTGGTGCTAGTCCTGGTCTTGGTGTTGGTTTCATGGTGCTGATCGTGGTGCTTATGGCTGGTCGGGTCCTAGTGAGTTCTCCTGGCACTGCCGATTTGGTCGGAGCATGGAGCCACTGACGCTGTTGGTGGTGCCGGTCTTGGTGCTGCTGTGGTGCTGGTCCCTGTTGGTGCCTGGTGCCATGGTGCCTGATCGCGATGCTTATGGTGGTGCCTGGTCCTGGTGTTGGTGCCGGTGCCATGATGCCGATCATGGTGCTTATGGTGGTGCTTGGTCCTGGTGAGTTCTCCGGCACGGCCGATTTGGCCGGTGCTTGGTGCCACAGTCGATGTTGGTGGTGCTAGTCTTGGTGCTGCTCGTGGTGCTAGTCCCGGTCTTGGTGCTGGTGCCATGGTGCCGATCGTGGTGCTTATTGTGGTGCTCGGTCCTGGTCTCTGTGCCGGTGCCATGGTGCTTATCGTGGTGCCGGTCCTGGTCTTGGTGTTGGTGCCATTGTGCTCGATCGTGGTGCTTATGGTGGTGCTCGGTCCTGGTAAGTTCTCCTGGCACTGGCCAGATATGGCCGGTGCATGGTGCTACTGGTCGTTGTTGGTGGTGCTAGTCTTGGTGCTGCCGTGGTGCTAGTCCCGCCTTGGTGCTGGTGCCATGGTGCCGATCATGGTGCTTATTGTGGTGCCGGTCGTGGTCTTGGTGTCGGTGCCATGGTGCCGATCGTGGTGCTTATGGTGGTTCTCGGTCCTTGTGAGTTCTCCTGGCACAGCCGATTTGGTCGGTGCATGGTGCCACTGCCGCTGTTGGTGGTGCTAGTCTTGGTGCGACTGTGGGTGCTAGTACCGGCCTTGGTGCCGGTGCCATGGTGCTGATCGTGGTGCTTATTGTGGTGTTGGTCCTGGTCTTGGTGCTCGGTGCCATGGTGCTGATCGTGGTGCTTATGGTGGTGCTGGTCCTGGTGTTGGTGCTGGTGCCATTGTGTTGATCGTGGTGCTTATGGTGGTGCCTGGTCCTTGTGAATTCTCCGGCACTGGCCGATTTGGCAGGTGCATGGTGCCACGCCGCTGTTGGTGGTGCTAGTCTTGGTGCTGCCGTGGTGCTAGTCCCGGCCTTGGTGCCGGTGCCATGGTGCTCGATCGTGGTGCTTATTATGGTGCTCGGTCCTGGTCTTGGTGATGGTGCCATGGTGCTGTTCGTGGTGCTTATGGTGGTGCTGGCCCTGGTCTTGGTGTTGGTGTCATGGTGCTGATCGTGGTGCTTATGGTGGTGCTGGTCCTAGTGAGTTCTCTAGCACGGTCAGATTTGGCTGGAGAAGGGAGCCACGATCAGTGTTGGTGGTGCTGGTCTTGGTGCGCTGTGGTGGTGGTCCCGGTCTTAGTGCTGGTGTCATGGTGCTGATCGTGGTGCTTATGGTGGTGCTAGTCCTGGTCTTGGTGCTGGTGCCATGGTGCTATTCGTGGTGCTGGTCCTGGTCTTGGTGCTGGTGTCATGGTGCTGATCGCGGTGCTTATGGTGGTGTTGGTCCTGGTCTTGGTACTCGGTGCCATTGTGCCGATTGTGGTGCTTATGGTGGTGCCGGTCCTGGTGAGTTCTCCTGGCACTGCCGATTTGGTCGGTGCATGGTGCCACGGCCGTTGTTGGTGGTGCTAGTCTTGGTGCGCTCGTGGTGCTAGTCCCGGCCTTGGTGCCGGTGCCATGGTGCTGATCATGGTGCTTATTGTGGTGCCGGTCGTGGTCTTGGTGCTGGTGCCATGGTGCCGATCGTGGTGCTTATGGTGGTTCTGGTCCTTGTGAGTTCTCCGGCACGCCAGATTTGGTCGGTGCATGGTGCCACTGGCCGCTGTTGGTGGTGCTAGTCTTGGTGCTACTGTGGTGCTAGTACCGGCCTTGGTGCCGGTGTCATGGTGCTGATCGTGGTGCTTATTGTGGTGTTGGTCCTGGTCTTGGTGCTCGGTGCCATGGTGCTGATCGTGGTGCTTATGGTGGTGCCTGGTCCTGGTGTTGGTGCTCGGTGCCATTGTGCTGATCGTGGTGCTTATGGTGGTGCTGGTCCTGGTGAATTCTCCGGCACTGGTCGATTTGGCAGTGTGCATGGTGCCACGGCCGGTGTTGGTGGTGCTAGTCTTGGTGCGCTGTGGTGCTAGTCCCGGCCTTGGTGCCGGTGCCATGGTGCTCGATCGTGGTGCTTATTATGGTGCTCGGTCCTGGTCTTGGTGCCTGGTTCCATGGTGCTCGTTCGTGGTGCTTATGGTGGTGCTCGGCCCTGGTCTTGGTGTTGGTGTCATGGTGCTAATCGTGGTGCTTATGGTGGTGCTGGTCCTAGTGAGTTCTCTAGCACTGTCAGATTTGGCTGGAGAAGGGAGCCACGATCAGTGTTGGTGGTGCTGGTCTTGGTGCGCTGTGGTGCCTGGTCCGGCCTTGGTGCTAGTGTCATGGTGCCGATCGTGGTGCTTATGGTGGTGCTAGTCCTGGTCTTGGTGCCTGGTGCCATGGTGCTCGGTCCTTATCTTGGTGCTCGGTGCCATGATGCCGATCGTGGTGCTTATGGTGGTGCTGGTCCTGGTGAGTTCTCCGGCACTGGCCGGATTTGGTCGGTGCATGGTGTCACTGGTCAGCTGTTGGTGGTGCTAGTCTTGGTGCTCGTGGTGCTAGTCCCGGTCTTGGTGCTGGTGCCATGGTGCTGATCGTGGTGCTTATTGTGGTGCTGGTCCTGGTCTTGGTGGTGGTGCCATGGTGTTGATCGTGGTTGTCGCCACAGTCAAAATGAGGCGGTTGGAGCGACGCGATGGTTTTTTTGCTTTTTTATGGGTGGTTGTCCTTAGGTTGTCCGATAACCGGGCTAACCTAGAGATGAGGTTTTCGAAAAGTGTTCTTGGGTTGTCCGATAACCGGGCTAACCCAAGAACGGGTTTTGAAGGGTTCGTGGAGTCGCCACCGATGTTTTTACTGGAAACATCGGAAAAGGAGTTTAAAAGGCGTTGGTTTTCGAAAACCAACTTTGGTCATTAGAACCAGAGTTGGGTAAGGGAGTTAGTTACGTGTAAAGGAAGTATTAGTTCCTTTACGACGCCCCTTTCGGGTTCCCTATGATAGGCTGGCTACTTTGGATAAATAATTAAACTGGAAAATTGCGCTTTTACCCTTTTATTATTATGCGGAATTTTAAGTTTATGACTACATGGCCCTAACTTCTATGCGTAATTTTAAATAAAAACGGTAAAATTAGAAAGAGAGAGGATGCACCTCCAAAGCAAACTTTTTATTTCTCTTCAAAGAGTGGGTGCTTTTTGGCAACCCTTCACTCTACAACTCTCAGAAACTCCGAAAATGCCTCGGAGGGATTCTAAAGAAGATTTAGAACGCTCAAAATACTCCTAAAGATACTCAGAAACTCCGGAAATGCTTCGGAGGGGTTCTAGAGAGAGAAAATCTAGGAGGAGGTACTGTGCTTTTCTGTGTGGAAATGAGGGGAGGGAGCCCCTATTTATAGGTTTTCGTGCCTGACAGTGGCGAGACCGCCAGTCTCGTCTGACAAGGTCGAGACCGCCGTCTGGACAATCCAGACCGCCGTCTCGACCATGCAGGGGGTCGAGACAGCCGTCTCGACTTTTGCAGTGGCAAGACCGCCGTGAGGCGAGACGGCGGTCTGGTCTTCCCAGACAGCGGTCTCGTCCCTTCAAGGCGAGAAACCTTATTTTTCGGGCCGAAAAACCCTCCTATCTTAGTACGGGGGGGCCTAATAGTCTCTCCTAGAGGCTTGTTAGGCTTCGGCCGTCTTCAAATAGGAAGCTTTCTGGCTTTATTTGGAGGTCGGGCAAGATTTGGGGTCTACAGCTGCCCCCTTTACCCGACCGGCCGACCATCGGCCTTTTGTGCCGAGGTGATCGACCGGAGGGTAAAGGAGTTGACCCTCTTGTCCGGCTACCCTTCGCATACTCCGTCTTTGCGTGCAGATAATCTTCCGGGGAAATGTTGTGTTGTGCGCTTCTGGGATGCTCCTTCGACGCGGTAGCTGACCCCTTCGGCTGATGAGTACGAACCCCCATCTGGTTTGACAAGTACTAACCCCCGCCCGGTAAGCCCCCTTTTGTAAGGCCTCGATGAGTTTACACCCCCATCCGGTGTTTGACGAGTACGAACCCCCGCCCGTAAGCCCCCTTTTGTAAGGCTTGATGAGTTTACACCCCCATCCGGTGTTAAGCCTCCGGATGCTCCATCTTGCGGTAGCCGATCCTTTGGTTGACGAGTACGAACCCTCGTCTGGTTTTGGTGCCTCTGGATGCCCCTTCTTGCGGTGGCTGATCCTTTGGCAATGGTGGCGGCTTACTGATTCTGACCATGCGCCGTTTCACTGGGGAGTGATTTCTGTGTTGGTTGGTGGATATGTTTATCCGGGTTATGCCGGGGGTTTTTTTGTTGGTTGTCCATCCAGCTTTGTTGGTTGCTGGGGATTCTTTGTTTTTTGGTGGTAGTTATCCGACTCTTGCTGGTTGGTCGGGTTATCTCTTCTTTTTGTTCGACTCTTGGTAGTCGATTTTTTATTGGTTGAGGTGATGGCTTAATCCTGCCTTTTTCTCGCGGTTTTATCTCTTTTTTATCGCGATTTTGGATTTTGGCTTTTTTCTTGAGCGTATGCCTTTTCTCTTTTAAGTTATTTTTTGTTACGCTGACTTTTGTAAAAGAAGGCAAGGAATGCATGGAATAAAATTTTATTCATGGAAAATTTTATTACAACAGCTTTTATTTAGGTAAATGCGGTCCCTAGGGGCTATCATCAGGGGAATCGGGGTAAGGGTACTGTTTGTACACGTGATATCGGAAGTCTACTTGCTCTTGGAGTTCGTCCCGGTAGTCCTCCTGGAATGTCGTCCATTCCTGTCGCAACCTCTGCTGCTCCTGGTAGATCTCGTCTTGGCGAGCTTGATAGGCTTGCTGACGAGCATCCTGGGTTTGCTGCCACTGGGTCTGCTGCTCTCGCCACACTGTTATTTGGCTGAACTGCTGGCTCAGATCATTCATGTGTTGGTGCATGCCAGCAAAGTCTTCCGTGTACGGTGGTGGCTGCTGCTACTGCTGCTGGGAGCTGGGAGACGTAGGCATATCCTGCATCGCCACTAGCCCCTGGAGATCCAGCTCGAAGTCCAGGGAGGGGTGCAGGGCGAACTGGTTTCCCCGACGTATCAGCATTCCCATGCTGACCAGCATTGGCCCATTGATGGGCTCGGGTCGTAGGTTGCGGGCCAGCTCTTCCCGGTCCAAGCACCCCATTCTCTCTGCCAGAGGGGTGATGAGGGGAGCTACGAGGATGGCCCCCATGGATCTACTCCCAAAGTCTTTAAGGGCCCTCAGGAGGAAGTATCCGGGGTTGCAGCGCCGTCTCTGGTGCATGCAATAGAGGGCAAAGAGATCAAGGAGGGATATCTTACCCTGGCTTTCCTTCCTCCCATGGATTGTGCCTGCCAGCAGCTTGTGGCAAATGCGGAGCGCCGGTTGCAGTGCGGAGCCTCTCATTAAAGAGGGCAGTGTGGTTGCTCCTGTGAGATCATGCCACATATCCGCGGAGGTGAGATGGGCAGGCCCAGAGCAGATGGCCTCTCGGTATTCCTGGGTCAACGCCTCATCGGGCCGGATGAATCCAATGGACACATTGAATTCTTCCAGGGTGGTGGTGTGGTATTGCCCACCCATCAAATAGTTGACCATCTTGGTGGGCTGCATGCCTGAGGCCATGGAGGGGATCTCGATGAGGGAGACAGAAGCCAAGAACTCTTGTACCACTTGGGGGTACACATATGTGGGTGGGGGTTGTAGCAGAAAGCCCCACCCAATGTTGTCGATGTGGGCTCTGACGTACTCCTCCCACCCAAACTCGGCTAGGACGCCGAAGTCCAGTGTCAGCATGGAATGCCACTGGTAGTTCCTAATGTTGTCCAGGCGGGCCTGGTGCTGTGGTGACAGCTGAGAAGGGTCTGGGGGAGGCGGTGGTGCCGAGCTGCTAGCACCAGCGGTGCCCCTTCTCTTCCTGGAGGCACTTCTGCTGAACATCTTGAGCAGGGAAGACTTGGAGGAGTAGAAATGTGAGTTCTGGAGGCTCTGGAGGCTTAGGAGGCAAGGAGAGTTGTGAGGAAACCCATTCAGGCGCGCCCCCTTATATAGGGAAATTTTCAGATCGAGACCGCCGTCTGGGAAGTCGAGACGGCGGTCTCGTTGGGGTTGTCTGGTTGAGACGGCGGTCCGGAGTTTCCGGACGGTGGTCTCGATTTTGCCTCGAGTCGAGACGCGCGGTCCGGAGATTCCGGACGGCGGTCTCGACTTTGCATAAAACGAGACGGCGGTCTCGATTTGCAGGGGAATCGAGACGGCGGTCTGGAATGTCCAGACGGCAGTCTCGAATTTCTGGGTTTTTTTTTTTTTTTTAAAGAAATAGGACCTGGTTCAAAAACATTTTATGCATGCAAATGTTTTCATGTTTGATGTCCTATAATGCTTACTTTAATTAGTTTTTCAGAAGGATTTAACCAACGTGTCTTGTTGTGCTGAAAGCCTTCTGATTCGCTGTGTTTTCTTTTGGCTGTACCATGCCGGACTTCTTGTGACCGAAGGGTAATTTCTTTTGCTTTCTTTCTTCTTTCTTTTTTTTTTTTTGTGGAGCGCTTTTGTCATGTAGTGTCCCTTTTTCCTTGCTTTAGGGATTTCAATCCTCTTGTTGACTATACGCCTCCATATTCCCAAATTAATTACTAGAATATTGATGTGAGGGTCAAGAGAAAAGAAGCAAAGAGGTAGAAATCAATGGTTTGTGTTTTAGAGGTTTGATTTTTATTGATAAAAGGATTTGTAAGAATGGCTGGCTAAGGTTAAGCCTGGGTGTTTAAGCTTTGTCTAAGCAAACATTTTTTCTTTCTTTTTGTATTTGCGCTCTTTGGTTTTATTTCCATTGCTTTTTAAATGGCTAGCTGATTTCCCTAGATCGCCCTTTGGGTTTTCGAACTAGGATACTGTGTATTGGCCCTAACTTTTGTCTAGGTTCCCTCTCTTGTAAAATTTTGGAGAAATCCTAGCGGACCTTATTTGTAACCCTAACTTTTGCCTAGGCTACCCTTTATTGTTGTTCGGGTATCCTACCGGGTCGACCCTATCTTTTGTGTAGCCCCCTTAGTGGGTTTCCTACCGGGTAATTTGCCCTTTTCTTTTGGCCTTTGGCTTCTCTGGGCTTTTTTCTTTTTTGTGGATTTATATTATATTTTTTTTTTGTTCACAGTATTGGCGAAGCATGACTTTCTTCATGGCTTAGGTGAAGTCTTTATTATGAATGTGCTTCTAATCAACTAACTTGATGGCAATAGCAATGTTAAACGTTGGTTATTTGGAAGCGTTTTTTATTCTCCTCTCTCCTTTTTTGTTTACTTAGACAGGGTTATTTATGTGGTCCAGTCAGAAGTAGAAGGAAGAGAAGCAGATAGAAAGAATCATTCTTATTAATTAATGAGGGAATATGTGCCCTAAAATGCCCGGGGGTCGGGCTCGCCCCGGGGGGATAATCTCTAACAATCATGGGGTTTACATCCCTTAAACAAGGAAAAAGATTTCCTAATGACTAGAGTAGCCCTTGACGCTTGCACCCCTCCACTTCGGAAAATTTGCTTGAGTGTGCGGAGGGGAGACTTCCCCTTTTTCCTTTCTGCTCGGCCCTTAGTAGGGTCATATCCTAAGCCATACTTGCAAGGATTGTCTTTGAATTCTGGGGGTTCCCTCATGCCTTGGGAATCTGCCCCCAGTCCTTGGCCAGGATGGTAGCCATGCTTTAACATCATGCGGGCTACCTTTGTGTTTTCGGGAAGTCGCTCTATACCGGCAATTTCGAGCGCTTGAAAAGATGTTTGAAGGGCCTCTTCAGCCGCATCCACATAAGGTTGGGTGGACGGTCCACCGATCGAGATATCGTCTTCCGCTTGGACTGTGACCAGCTTATCGTCCACTATGAATTTGACTTTCCGGTGGAGCGTCGAAGGTACCGCCTTAGCGTCATGAATCCAAGGCTCGCCGAGGAGACAGCCGTATGCTCGGAGTAATGTCCATTACATGGAAATCGACGTTGAAGGTAGTGGGTCCAACCTGGATTGGCAATCTGATCTCTCCCACTACTTCTCGTTTTGATCCGTCGAAGGCTCGAACGATGGTGCTGCTTGGGCGCAGACGGGTTCCTTGGATAGTCAACTTATCCAGTGTGTACTTGGGCATCACGTTCAGGGACGACCCGTTATCCACAAGAACTTTGGCGATGAGGTATTCCTTGCATTTAACCGAGATATGCAAGGGCTTGTTATGTTTTGGCCCCTCGAGGGGGAGTTCTTCCTCTGTGAAGGTGAGGTGATCGTTTGTCGTGATGTGACCTGTAGACCCCTAATTTTGCCCGGTCTCTCAAATAAAGATAAAAGAGATCACCCGTAACAAGATAAAGCTCGTCTAGCATTACAAATAAGAGCCAAGGAGACTTCCTACATGAAGATAAAGCTTCAACAGACGCATATCGGCATCAACTGACGTCCAAAACAGGCAAGGAAAGCTTCCCGGAGTCCCGAAACGCGCGAAACTGGCCAGAACAGTCGAGACGGCCGTCCCAAGGTGGGACGGCCGTCCCAACTTGCTCCAGCCAGTTGGGACGCGCGTCGAGTGCTGGGACGGCCGTCCCAAGCCCCGCAAAAGTGGGACGGCCGTCCCGGGTCCCCGTGGGGTCCCGGCCCGTGTAATTTTGCCATTTGGGACGGCCGTCCCAGCCCGGACGGCCGTCCCGAGCCCGCACGGTGGTCCCGAAGTGCGCCAGCTTCGAAAACTATAAATAGGAGGCTCATTTGTCACTTTTTCACACCCTGCACATCCCGCAGAGCTCGAAACACTTTCTAAAACTCAGAGCACTTGTCTACTTCTCTCTCTCTCTCGAATGATCTTTCCGATTGCCTTAAATAGGTAACAATCTAGTTAAGGAATTATATTCCGGCATTTGATTCTTCT